TCACGGCCTGAAGGGACGTGGTTCACCGAAGAGAAAACCTTCCTAAGATGTACTCTCCCCTGACTACCATTCTTTCAATTTTTTCCAATCCCTTTCTCACCAAGGGGAAGTGGCTTCTCTCTGTCTTTTCTAGAAATATTTTCATGGTAACTTCTTTCATTTTCCCCCGAGTGCCTCGACTACAAGAATGTACTCCTGCTACTAGATTGACAACTAGGACACACCGTTTGACTTAAACTAGCTAAACGCAACTCCCACTTCTACTCTAATAGTCTCTTTTTTCGTACTTCTCACCTGTGGATCTCTCTTCCGATTCATTGCCTTTTTGATAAATAAAATCTTTAAAAGTTTACATGAAACGTAAATTGGTATTTTTCTGTATTTCCGAAGCCTGTTCGTTTTTGTCCCTTACTTCAAACAGATCCAATAAAACTTTAATCCTCTTTCACTCCTGCGTATCAATTGTCTTAACGCCTTTACTTTAGTGTGAAAAGATTAAGAAAGAAATGTATATCCACTTATTACCATTCCTGTAACGTTTGTTATACATCATTTCGACCTGTCGACATTTGTGTTAAAACAGAAGTGCTTATTTTATTTTATTCTGATGAGCTAACACGGAAATTCATAGGTCTATCATGTCAACAATTAGAGCCCTGCATCAAGGTCGGAAGCTCATTAGGGTGGCATCTTGTGTAATTAGATAGTTGGTCAGTGTAGGTAGATGCTAAGCGACAAGCCAGGCTTGTGCCATGGCTAGGTGTCCAGAGGGGTAAACCAGTTGCAATTTCTAGTTTTAATTCCCAGCAGTGTCCTACGAAATGCATTCTGCGTTTACGTAAGATTGTCAAAAAATCAAGAGGGGTTCAGCGAATTGTGATTTATTTGGATATTCTCTACAAGAGAAGGTGATTATAGCTCCCAGCATCTGAGTGTAGGATCCATCAGGCTTAAATCGAAGTGGATTAGTAAATGTCTAAGCTGTGGCTTCCTACATTAAAGCCGACTCTACAGTGGCGCCAAAGAAGCTCTGTTTGAGTTTGTCGGGTAGATCAGATTTCCAGATAAAAATCCATTTTATTCAAGGCGGCAAAGGCTCTAGAAATGCGAATTTTTTGCCATCCTTTTCTGTAGAATATATTTCGCTTCCAAGGTATGTAAAAGATTCGACAGATTGAGAAAGTGCTAGTTGTAACAAATTCTTTTGACACACCCAAACTAAAAATTTACAAGAAATGTCGAGTCCTTCACGCATATTTATTAGATATGGAAGAATATGTGGATGGATACGAAATGCCATATGATATATTTAGATTAAGATGACATATATATTGATATTTGATTTCGATTATCATCTTTTAACACACAGTTATTTGGGTAGTTGCTCAAGTTGTCTAAATTTTAGCCATTTCAACCCGACTGGCCGCTATATCGACAGCTGTGTGAAATGAAATTTTTTAATCATATTACCAAATGAAGAACAGTAAAATCAATAAGATCCAAGGGAATACTGAGTGTGAAAGAATAAGAAACAAAAGAAATATTATTAATGAGCGAGCACAATATCAGATTAATCAAGAAAACAATATATAACGATTTATATCGCATTTAAAGTTTTGAAAATTAAATTTGTCAAGAAAGCATGGAGCCTGAAGAAAGTTCCATCATCGTGAAAAGAAACTGTTAGGATAGAATTTACGGTTCGACTTAGCCAATTCAATTGTGAATCATGAGACCTTGCTGGTAAAATATTACTGTGTTTAAATTAATAAATTCGCGGTAGCATAGCGAAGAGTCCATCCAAACACTTATCATGAATGTATTTATAGAAAAGGCACAGGAATATATACATTACGGTAGTGGAAAGTGTTTGAAGTTGAGACGCCAGGTAAAGACCAATAACACATCCGATCCTGGAAGCAATCGATAGCAGGGCCCCAGGGTTGGAGATTTTTAATTATCAGTGTTGCGGGTTTAAAGGGTTAAACACCCATAATATATGCTTGGTTCCATCAATGATCTCTTATAACGTCTTACTTATTATCAAATTCATCGCACGATTATTTATAGGAAGTAACGTAATGCTTATCTATTTACGTGGAATCAGCGAGCCGAGTTCGAATCCTAGTCTATTCTATTCATTCACGTTGAATTACTGGTTAAAAAGCCGGGTATATTTTCTAGTCATTGTTGGTAGCCAGTTTGATAGATGGGCAATTCTGAATTCAAAAACTTAAGAGGATGGAAAACTACTCCGTTATTCTCAAAAGAGGTGATGGCAATCAGTTGATCATAAAGAATATCAATCTAGATTGATTGACTTGTTTTTACGGCTTATCATCATTTTCAAGGTTACTTAAAGCCCGAATATATTTTTAGATTCTAAACGTATTTAATTTTTGGGGGATAATAATGATTCACTGACACAAGACCAACTAATTAACCCATGCCTGGGAGGAGAAAAATTTATTCATAACGTTCCCCTTAGTATTTGCGCTGAAATCAGTAAAAGGGACACGGCTTTAAATTAAGCTAGGCTCTCTGATTTTCAATTCTGTACCGTTATATATTACACTATCTATACCACCAAGTTTACAACACATGGTATTCCTAAGCTGTTACCTATCTAGGTACTGTATAGTTTCAAAGTTGCTTAACTTCAGTGGTCGTATGAGAACCAGTATAAACAAAATCAACCCTTATGTCCTGTTTAAAAAAACAAGATTTTTTTTTCTAAATACGATTCATTATTTTTATGGTCCAAGTTCCTTGTACGACGGTGATGGTCCAAGGTTAGAACCAATGAAAGAATAACACGAACACAGGTATGGAATACAAAGAAATATTACAACAGAAATATAATACAAAGAAGTAGAAGTATTAGTAATGACTATCAGATTTGGTTAGAGTGAACTATGTTGTCTCGACAAGTATCACTATTCCAATGTCCTTACAATATGCTCTCAATTATCTCTCCTCGTCTTGAGACACGCAAATGTCAGGAATAGTCCGTTATTATTATGGGTGAGTTCCCATAACAATTATATATGTCATCCGGAAACTGCGTAGATAAAAACACAAAGATCCCTTATTTTAGTGAAAATATTGTGGGCGCGGGCCTGGATTGCTCAATGAAGAGACGCTGATTGGTAAAGAGAACTCTTGGGTTCAATATCTATTGATGGTTTGTCTCTTTGGCTAATAGCAGAGATGTTAATATTCAATTCCCAGTTGCCATTCTCAAGTCCTTGAGCATACACTTCGTGCGTAAATGAGGAACAAAGTTGAAACCTTCGATTTCGATGTAATACTATACAAAGAATTGCAATTTTTTTTCCACCAGCAGAGTGATTTTATTAAACTATCAAAGGAAGCGTAAGTACGTCACATTCGCAGTCGGGCGCTCAAACAAGATTGATAAATTACTAAAGAGATTAGTGTTGTCAAATAGTAAGTTGCATTTCAAAAACAGATCATGAATTTAAACCTGATTCATTTAATTAAAATAAGACAAAGAAATGCTGTGCCAAAAAGTTTACTGTATCCTTATTTCCGCTCGCACACACACACACACACAATAATATACATATACACACACACACACACACACACACATATATATATATATATATATATATATATATATATATATATATATACAACCCTTCAGAAATCACACCATCATTAGCATCCTCCATACGTTACCTTTCCTCCACCTAGAAAATTTTTATAATAGTTTAGACCATTATCTAATTAATAAATAGATGCGTAGCTTTAACTTCTCTGTATAAATAAAGCTTAACAAGTAAAGATTCTCCATTTCACTTGATAAAATTCCTGTAAGAAGGAACCGCATTGAAATGAAAACAATTTTCCTTTTGTCACTTGTTTTGTATTAATGTTGTCTTTACAGATACATTCAATTTGGTTCCTTGTCTGTTCTGGCTTTCTTTAAATTTATGATCTCTGCTTAAATATCCTGACTGAAATCAATCATACAGCTGACGTTGTTCTGAAGAAGAATTTGACTAATATGAAAGCTACATGAGATAGATTAGGTCCCAAAAATAATTCTTTAAAGTGGACCAAGGCAGCATTGATCCGTAAGTTTTTAGGGGTTAATATTCCTATTGACCTTTTACAGATGGCACTCATATATAGAGAGTTTGAATTATCTTTGCATAAATAACAAATTGTTAATCTTAATTTTATTTGCAAATTAGGAATTAATAGCAGTTAACAAATTCAAGACGTTTGTCACAAAAGAGTAATTAAATTCAAATGAAAATAATGTCTCTTTATCTTAGGCAATTTATAGACAACGATGGTCATGCCACGAAATAAAATACAAAATTACACTAAATCACACCAATTCTCATCCTACGAGAGAAATATTTTTATTCAATAGAGACGAAGAGACGAAGAAGCAATGTATTACTTCCTACAATATGTCAATTAACTCATTATTTTTACTGTATTTTACAACTTTATAAATTTGGCTCATTCATTTTTCTCTCAGGATAATGCATCTATTTCTACATTAAATCTTTTTCTTCTTTTTTTCTTAAATATATTTTGTTCTTTCGCCTCTTCTTCTTCTTCTTCTTCTTCATCTTCTACTTCTTCTTCTTCTTCTTCTTCTTCTTCTTTCTCTTCTTCTTCCACTTCTTCTACTCTTACCTCTACTTCTCTTAAATATATTTTGTTCTTTCGCCTCTTCTTCTTCTTCTTCTTCTTCTTCTTCTTCTTCTTCTTCTTCTTCTTCTTCTTTCTCTTCTTCTTCCACTTCTTCTACTCTTACCTCTACTTCTCTTAAATATATTTTGTTCTTTCGCCTCTTCTTCTTCTTCTTCTTCTTCTTCTTCATCTTCTACTTCTTCTTCTTCTTCTTTCTCTTCTTCTTCCACTTCTTCTACTCTTACCTCTACTTCTCTTTACTTTCTGCATTCTCTTCTTCATCTTTATTAATTTTACCTCCAACTTTGTAATTATTTTCCAAGATACCTTTTATCTCGTGTCTCCTCTTCCTCTTCCTCCTCCCCTTCCTCCTCCATCCTTATGTTCTCCTCATATGCTTCTTCGTCAACTTTGCCTATACTTCATAAATATTTTATTTTCCTTTATCGTCTACGCCATCCTTTTTGCTCTCTTCTCTATCATCTTCATCATTTCTTTTATATACTTAAAGGTTTTAATATTTTTCATCTTTTTTCATAATCTACAGTCTTTTTTTGGTCGTTTTGGTGATTTTCTTATCTATCTTCCTCTTCTTTCTCCTCCTCCTTCTCCTCCCCATCATCATCATCATCATCATCATCATCATCATCATCTATTTCTTCTTCTTCTTCAAGTTACTTCATTTGTTATTCTTTCCTTTAATTACTTCTCTTAATTTATTCACTATTTTTGTCTGTTCCTAATTCCATTCTCTTTTTATTTTTCTTCCCAATCTTATTATCTTTGCCGGTAAACTTGGCTTCATTTCTGCTGAAATCCAGTAGAATCGTCTTATTTTTTTTATTTTTTTTTTTTTCGCATAATAATGTTTATTTTTTTCAAGTTGTTTAGATTTTTTTTTTCTTTTCTGCATTTAACATTTCAGAGATGTTCTATAAAAAAAAATAAAAATAAAGTAAAATAAAGAATGAGATTGCACACCTAGAAAGATAAAACTCCTGACAGGCGACTTGAGTGGTGTACAGTTCCCCATCATTCCATTTTCGAGAAAGGTAAAAATAAATAAATAAATAAATTACTCCACATTCCCAGGTTATCCCTTTTCGCAATCTAATTAGTGACATGTGTTTCTTTTATCAACGCCTTCTTGGTTTCTTTCTGTTTTTGGGGATTTTTTTTTTTTGCTTTTTTTTTTTTGGCTTGCTTGCTTCTTGCGTTAAATTATTGCGTAAATGTCTTTTAATACTTTTATTAAAATTGTTTTTTTGTCTGTTTATTTGTAAAACAAACTCTAAACACACCTTCTTATTATCTAAGATTATATAGAAATGCTTATAAAGCAATCTCAGCTTTAATATCTATTGCTTTCTAGCGATATACAGTCGTCTGTTATCGATGCGATAAGGAATTAAATTGAAGCCTTCCTGACTAGAAGTATATTAGCAAATCTTAATACGACATAATATATGTTTATATTCTAATTAATCATACGTCGAGTATTAAGGATTAAAACAAACGGAAAAAAAAAACAATTTCATTCAAAACGTATGGACTTTCAGAAAATAGCGGGGTACAAGACTCAAGCGAAATGTTTCAATTAATTTTTAAGTTTAATCACCTCACCATAAGATGAAATTTTGCCAAACCTTTCTGTATTTTTAATGTATCTCTTCGAGAGCGAGGTAATGTTCTTTTTCATTTTTCTTCCTAGACTTATATCATGAATTCTTAAGTGCATGCCTGTTGGTTTCTAGCGGCAGATAATCTATATAGTGTTCTGATAAAAACCCCTCACATCTAGATTGGAGATTTTTTCAGTTCTACCTTCATTGTCCATGAGCACATAAATATTAAGACCATTATGTCTAGAATGATATCATATTCTTCATCGACCGTACAGTGTCAGAAGTCCTATTCCGACATGTAAACATTCTACCATTGTCCAGGTAGATTTGGTTCTTATCGCATTGTTTAGATCTGACACCATTGTGATAATAACAGAAACTAATCAAATAGCCTCTTTTCATCAAGTGAATTACAAGGAATTTTATATTTACGTCCAGGAGGCACAATGGACTAATGCATAGTACCTCGGACTGAGGAATCAGAGAGTCGAGTTCGAATTCCAGTTGGATCTATTGCATTCAGTTACGTGCTAATAGCTCTGGGAAAGCTATGAATCCACTTCTTCTCTCCCCAGCTAAATAGCAGGACAGACTGTGTTGACAAACAGTCTAGGAGAAAGAAATTCTGAATTCAAAACTGTACGTGGCTCTGGCGTAGCACATATTATACAGCTAAAGAAGGGATCGTTCACATTGGCCCGATGATCCTGACTGCGGTCGAATGAAGATGCTGTTTACTGCTTACGCTAGGATAGTTCAAATCAAAATTTCTGATCAAGTATTTATTGAATCTTTGTCTTTAATAGTTATTTTCCAATCGTAGCTTAAATGTGGCTCAAGGCCAAAAGTATGAGGCATACAGTGAAGATCGAACTCTCTACTAAGTCGTAATTTTTTTCTAGCGAGACAAGCTTGCTAAACATGACACAACATCGAGAGGCTGAAATCTTTGTGTTTTATATGCCTTGCTTCTATAGGCATTAGTTGATTATGGCGCTCCTCATCTTACTGTTTTTATGATTCGAAATAACTTTTCATGTTTCAAAATTGTGTTTTTTTCCTATTTCAGCGTTCCAGGTTAAGAAAGTTACTCGGTGTTTCCCTTTGATTCTTTTATTTTCAGTACGCCATCAATCTTCTGAGAAAAAATCCTGAATGTTAATGGTTTTATTCAAAGAAAGTGATGATGTTATTTTTAAAAATAATTCTTCAGTTTCCTTCACTCTTTCTGTCTTTCTGCGTCTATTTCTCTCTCTACATACGATTAAACACACATTCAAAAACAGTCACAAACTTATTTAAATATTTTGCAAAATTTGGGTTATTTATAGGGAATGAATATAAATAGCGAAGAGAGAGTGGGTGAACATAGGAATTAACTTTCAACCTACACTTCAACCTGAGGGTTAGAGCAATTATATATATATATATATATATATATATATATGCATGTGTCTATGTGTGTGTTTGTGTATGTACGCGCAGATGTAATATCTATCTGCCCCAACAGATGGGAAATTACACATCACCCATCCACCCACGGAAAAAAACACACACACACACTCTCTCTCTCTCTCTCTCTCTATATATATATATATATATATATATATATATATATATATATATATATATATATATATATATGTATATATATATATATATATATATATATATATATATATATATATATATATATATATATATATATATATATATATATATATATATATATATATATATATATATATATATATATATATATATATATTATGAAGAACTGCTGTTTCTTGTACTTTTATTTTTGGTATGAGTGTGTTATTTTTCATTTCGCTTGATAAGTATCGAGTGGTTGCTGGCTTCTCTTCCTGTCCTTTCCATGTTTGTAATTTTTCCTTTTATTATTTTATTTTATTCTTTCCTAGCATTCTCCATTGATCTTTGGTTTATTGCTATTGTTTTGACCATTTAATTTAAGTTATGGTTGGGTAATTTTGTGAATACGTAGTTTGTATTGCTGTGTGTTTATGTGTGTGCCATTGTATGTGGGCGCATATACGCATATATAGATGCAAACTTACACGCATACGCACACCCTTGTTGTGGTTGTAATTTATTTTTGTTTTGTATGGTTGAGTATTATTTGTTGCTTATTATTTTCTTGATGCTGTGGATGTTGCGTAGACAGTTTGTGTTTTTTGCGTTTTTAAAGAGTCTAGTTGAAGTAATATATATGTCGGGTTAGCGTGTGTTTTGTATGGTTGTGAATTATTTTGATGGTTATTATTTGTTGATATTGTGTTCACTCTTTTCTGGTTTGATTGTGCTTGTAAAGGTATGGTTTAGATGATAGTTATGGTAGTTTGTCTTTGTGATGCCATAGTGTTTTTTGTTTTATTTATTACTTTTCTATTTATATTAGTATTTAGGTACCAAAGTAGATGCTTTTTTAAATGTCTGGATTTCCCCATTATTTCATTCCCCATGTTCAATAAGTTGCTTTTATTCTAAAATTTGATGACTGATAAATTTGTCCTCCAGACACAATTTACGGTTTCTACTGTTGGTATTGTGTGGAGTTGCTTTTTATAATTTCCCATTTAATCATGGCAATGATGTTATTTCTTTGGCGCCATATATATCAGGTCATCACATAAGTCCTGTCCGAATTTTGAATAAAGAAAACAAGTGACCAAATGTTACATTTAGTTACAGATTCATATGACTTCCTTCCATGTATTAACAAGCTTACTAATTCCATTACTGCAAGATTCTTTTGGCTTCGATTCGAAGAACTCCCAGATGTAAGTTTTAACCTCTTCCTGTGTTACAAAAGCTGTTTCTTCCAAATGATTCTGTAAGCTACGAAACAATTGGTATTCTGAAGGAGCTAGATCGGGAGAATAAGGTGGATGAGCAATTTTCTCCCAACCAAGTTCTGCGATCGTTTGTGACGTGATTCTTACTGTGCGGGGTCGCGCATTGTCCTGATGAAACATCACCCCTTTTCGATTCACTAGAGCAGGTCTTTTTTTCCTCAAAGCTTAGTTCAAACGCTCTAATTGCTGACAGTATATTTAAGCATTAATTGTTCCATTAGATGGTAAGAATTCAAAGTGGATTATTCCTTGGCGATCCCACCAGATTGAAAGAAGAATATTTTGCCCATGAAGTTCCATTCTCGGCTCTGGCTGGGGTCCTTCCCCTTTACCAAGCCACTGTCTAAGACGTTTAACATTTCGATAAAATATCCATTTTTCGTCACCAGTCACAAGTCTATCCAAGAAAAGGTGAAACAAGTTGGCGAGAATGGAGAGAAGAGTAGATGTCAACTCGAGATTTGAGGTTGTTTTCAGACAATTCATAAGGCACCCATTTTCCAAGTTTAGGAACTTTTCCAAGTTGTTGAAGATGACGATGAACAGTTGTATGGTTTCAATATAGAACCACTCCCAATTCCTCAACTGATAAAGCAGGATTTTCTTCAAGGGCTGCTTCAAGAAGCTTTTCATCAAATTCAACTGGACGTCCGGTTCAATCTTCATCTTCAAGGGTGAAATCTCCTCCTCTGAATTTTGCAAACCATCTTCTGCAAGTTCTTTCATTCACACATTCCTCTCCATAAACTGAGTGAATGTTTCTAGCCGCTTCGACTACTGAGTTTCCTTTCTTGAACTCATAAAACATTATGTGCCTCAAATGATTCTTGGGTACTTCCATGTTAGCAGGATCAAACAAAATTTAATTTTATTGTTCTCTGCAAAAAAAATTGATTAGTTTAAATGAATCTAAACATAAAAATAATGTTCATCTCCATTAGACATTATAAAATACTCTTTAAATTTCGTTTATTTTAACAAAAAGTTAAAATTCGGACAGAACTTATGGGATGACGTGATATTTTGATAGTGTTGAGTCGTTTTTGTATTTTTCTGTTTTAAATGAGGTTTGATGATAATTAAATCTTCTTTAAAGTTTGTTTAATTCGACAATTGAATTTGTTGATGTTGTTTTGCTCATTTATATTGTTGTGGTTATAATTGTATTTGAGGAAAATTGTTTTATTGTAATTGGTCATTGTTTTTTTCTATGA